ATGGCTGAGAAGCAGAAGCACGATGGGAGGGTGAAGATCGGACATTACGTGCTGGGGGACACACTGGGCGTCGGCACCTTCGGCAAAGTGAAGAGTGAGTGCAGCGATGCGGGAGGGAGGCCGGGCGGCAGGTGGAGCGCCCGCGGGCGAGCCGGAGCCCCGGCACCTCCTCGCGCTGCACCCCGGGCGTGGGTCGGGGGGGACCCGCGTTTTAGGCCATGCCTTTGCGGTCCCTTCGAGCCCCCTGTCCCATCTCTACCCCTCAGCGCATTTGTCTGCAGAGCTGGGCGACTGGCCCAGTCCGAAGGGCCTTTGAAGCATGGGGAGGATGGGGGAGTCACCGCACCGTGGGTTGGGAGTGGGTCTCCCACTCGTGCCAGGTGCCCTGCGTGGAGCGTCATCTGTGGTCTTAATCCTTAACGTGGCGCGGTCAGGGTGTGGTCTTCACCTTAAAGGTGAGAGATCTCACGCCCTAAGGCTTCCGCGACACGCCCAAGGTCACAGAGAATTGGCAGATTCAGGGTCTGACGTCCGAGACGCCCTCCAATTTTGGCCTTGCTGAGAGGCCCCTGCCTTCCCCGGATTCTCCCCTGGTACAGGCCTTTGATGGTGGAGTTGACTGGAGGCCATGCCTAGAGCCAGGAGGTGAGGGGGGAGGGTCCCTTCTGCTGGGTGCGTGAAACGCTGGTATGCAGTCGGTTGGGCAGCACTTTGGGGGACCCCCATCTTTGCGGGCTGCTTGGTGTGTGTGAAATGTTTCGAGGAAGGCTTCTGGGGTGAGGGCCGGCCAAACGTTCCTTTGTGCTGGAATTTGGGGCCGAAGATGTCAGAACTGCTTAGGCAAGTATTTTTGAGGTTTTTATTTATTTATTTACTTTGGCGAAAGGATTGCAACTGGGGCTTAGCGAAAAACAGACGGCTTTGGAAATTTCACACTGTACTTACTAGTTAAGTATTAAACTTTCCTTTGCTTTCTTATTAGTTAGTAAGAGTCACATGGGGTTTGATTACCTGTCTTAACAGCTCTTGTTGAAAACACTTGGTAGCAAGTTGAGAATTAAAAGTGAAACATTAGCTTTCTTCGGTGTTGAATAAACGTTGGGTAAACAGTCCAGAAATGTTGTGCTGAGGTTTGATTTGCTGGAGGGTTAGAAGCAGAAAGGAGAGAGAGACTCGTCATTTCTGCAAGGATTAACACCCCTTCCCTGGGTACATCTAATACCCATTTGTACAAAGAGAAAACACTTATTGAGCGCTCTTAGCACGCGAGGCACTGTTCCAGGCAACAGAGTTCTAGGAAGAACAAAACCTGGGCTTTCTACCGCGGCGATCAGAACACACGTGTGAAGCCTCTCTCCCCCGCGGCGATCAGAACACACGTGTGAAGCCTATCTCCCTTACCATTCAGAAAAGAATAATAGCGGAAGGAAGGGCAGTTCTGTGAGGCTGGCAGATGATAATGAAGAGGTCACATTTTTGTAAAGACCCAAACTGTTCGGAAAATCCTTTGAAGTCTTGTGAAGGCTGTGACGTTGAGATGAAGCCTAATGGGGATCTTGGGAGAAAACTGGATAGTCAGGGGATGATGATGATGATCCAGAGATTACATCTGTGCTGAGAACTGCTTTGTTAGGAGTTACACAGGTAAGTCAAACTGCTTTGCCCTTTTAGGGTAACTTATATAACTTCGCCCTATATCCTCTCAAATTCTGTTAAGTGCTTTTGTTGGCTCAGCCCATCGTCAAAGGATAATTTAAATCTATTTAGGTTGTGTTCTCTATCTGGTTCTGAGCACCAGCTTCCTAAAATATAAATGTAACAGAAGGAACTTTGATTTCTGAGAAAAATGAGCATGGCTGGAGCTTTCCTGGCATTATTTGTCCCTAAAGAGCTCTTTTTTTTTCTTTTTTGGTTTTTTGAGACAGGGTTTCTCTTTGTAGACTTCGAACTCACTGAGATCCACCTGCCTCTGTCTCCCGAGTGCTAGGATTAAAGGCATGTGCCACTATCACCCGGTGTGTGCCATTATCAGCCAGCGTGATAAATTACCTTTAATTGTCAGAGTCACATGAGGTAAGCTCTTCTAGGAAGGGAATCTTAATAAAGGATCACTTAGATCAGGGTAATTGTGGGCATGTCTGTGGGGAATTGTCTTGGTTATATTAACTGAAGTGAGAAGACCCACCCATTCTGGGCAGCACCATTCTCCGAGTTTGGGTCCTGGATGTAGAAGTGTAGAGAGAGGCCCAAGCATGAGCAACCATGCTTGCATTTTCTCTCTGTTCTTGACTGTGGATGTGACTGCTTCAAGTTCTTGCCTTGACGTCTCTGAAATGAACAAAGCTTGGAATTTTGAGTTAAAAAATACACTTTTCTCACTATGTCGCTTTTAGTCAGGGTGATTTATGGTGAAAGTTAAACTCAGACGTGTGGTTTGTAATCAGTATAACTGTAGTCGTTCAGTTAATTCAAAGGACAGGTGAAACAAAGTGTGCGCATTTAAAAAATACATTTTACTTGTCATTCGACATTGTATTTCTATACAGTGTGCTTTTAGTCAAATTCACCCCCCACTCTCTCCCCTCCAACTTCTTTCATACGCCACCACCACTTCGCCCTTCCAATTTCATGTACTCCTTTTTAACCCCTGAGCCCACATGGCGCCGCCAGAATGTACATGAGTATAGGGTCAATCCCTGGAGCGTGGGCAGCCTATAGGGGTTACATCTGAAGAAAGTTAGTCTTTAACCCCCAGCCCCATGAGCAGCTGTCAGCTTCTAGTAGCTTCTCTGCCAGGAGTGCACCTTCGTGAACGTCTCCCCTAGCGAAGGCATGAATATATATATATATATATATATATATATATATATATACATATATACATACATATATATATACATACATGTATATTAAAACATTATTGAGGTATGTTTTACATAGCATAAAGTCACTGAATGTCAGTGTACAGAGTACAGTTGAAGTGTTCAGTGTACAGTTCAACAGTTTTTTAGTAATTTTACCAAGTACAACAACTGTCATTGTAGCTTAGCTGTACAACATCAATTTTGCCCATTTACAGTTAATCCCATTCCCACCCATAACTCCAGATACCACTAATCTATGGCTACTATGTATAAACTGTCTTTTCTGGAAACTAAGAATTGGGATTATTGAGTTTTCTTTCTTTCTTTCTTTTTCTTTTCTTTTTGGTTTTCGAGACAGGGTTTTTCTGTGTAGCTTTGGAGCCTGTCCTAGAACTCCACCTGTAGATCAGGCTGATCTTGAATTTACAGAGATCTGCCAGCCTCTGCCTCCCAAACCCCGGGATTAAAGGCACGTGCCACCAGCACCCGGCTGAGTGTAAAGTCTCTTATGTTTAGCTTTTTGAGCAATGTTTTTAAGGGTCATACCTAGCATAATATCACTGATCAGTTCCTTTTATTGTTGAGTAATCTCCCATTGTATGTATGTGGCACCGCCCCTCCCCCCTTCCCTACACATTCACTAGCTGCTGGACATTGTCTTTACATTAAAGGCTTTACAAATAGTACCTCCATGAACAGTCATGTGCCAGTCTGTGTGTGAATGTGTGTTGTTTCCCTGAGAAAACACTTGGGAAAACACCCGAAGGGAAGAAAGACACAGTTCATCCACATTTGAGGGCTTTCAGTGCGTCCTTCCTTGTTCTGTGTTGTAATGAGGCAGAACATAGGGCAGGTAGCATAGGAAGCCCCTCATGAAATACCGGGCCACCTCCTACTTTCTACCACCACCCCGTCAGGCCCTTGTACTATGAACACAGCAAGGCTTAGTCTGTTGTTAAAGACAGAGTCCTCATCGACCATTCCCCTTCAGTAGTGCCACCAACTAAAGACTTTGGGGAACAATTCATATCTTCATATCCAAATCGTAAGGATGGGGACACTTTTTTTTTTTTAATCTTGAAGAGGTAATTAGGAGTAGAATTGCTAGTTCCTATCATAGCTTTATTTTCTAAGTTTTTGAGAGGCTGACAAACTGTTTTCCAAAATGGTTGGACTAGTTTGTATCCCCACCAACACTTTTCTCCATTTCTTTACCAACACCTGCTACTGTTTGACTTGTTACAGTGATTCCACTTGGTGTGAAATAGCTCACTGACGTTTTAACTTTGCATTTTACTAGTGACTAATGGTATTGGCCATCTTTTCATTTATTTTTCTATTATACACATATTTTTAAAATGAAATTTGCATATTACTTGTTTTAGTGTGTTTTTTCTGTTTGTTTTCGTTTTTAGAAACAATGTCTCGCTATGTAGATATGACTGTCCTGGAATTTGCTATGTAGACCAGGCTGGCCTCAAACTTTCAGAACTCGTAGAGATCTGCCTGCCTCTGACTCCCAAATCCTAGGATTAAAGGTGTGCACCCCCATACCTCACTGTTTGCTCCATTTTTGGTTGGGGTGTACCATATGACTTGAATAGGGTTTATCCTGTATTGGAATTTGATTCCCACATTGCATTGAAAGGTGCTGGAACCCCTGTGAGGTAATTAGGTTCTTAAGAGGAAGCAGTGCTTTGCTTTAGGAGGTTAAGTAATGGTGGGATAGAAGTGGTTATAAAGCAACTTTACCCTTTGTGGTTTGTGGCTTTCCCATGCACTTGCTTGTCCTGCTTTTCTGCTGAGGTCACGTACCATGAAGTTGTTCCCAGAAGCTGAGTAGATGCTGGCACCATGCTGGTAGACTTCCCAACCTCTGTCACCACTAGCCAAAATAAACGGCCTCATTTAATAAATTACCTCCTCTCAAATATGCTGTGTACCAGTAGAAGACAGGCTAAGACAAGTTGCTCATCAACTTTTAAGCTGAATTAAAAGGATTTAAAAATAAATGAATAAACTTTTGCTACAAGTCTCTTGCTGAATATATGTTGCAAATATGGTTCTTTGTGCTTTGTAGGACTCCCCCCGCCACCTTCATTCATTTCTTAGGAACTTATGTATCCCATATTGGCACCAAACTCAACAAGGTGCCCAAGTGATAGGATTAAAGGCGTGCGCCAGCTTGCCCCGTGTAAGAGGTTCTCAGGCGGCCTAGGCAAGCACTCTGTCGGCAGAGCTACAGCTTCAGTCCGAGTTTTCATTTTCTTAGTTCTTTCTTTTGAAAAAAAAAAAATTCTGAAGTTTTGAGTTCAAATTTGTCATTTAAAAAAGTGGATCATATCTCTGTGAGTTCAAGACCAGCCTGGTCTACATAGTGAATTCTAGGGAAAAAAGTGTTTTGGGGGGCCAAATATTTAATACCATAGTTAAAAAATCTTTGCCTAGGAGGTCTGAAAGATTTGTGGCTTACTATATTTTCCTATGAATATTTGATTGTTCTGGCGTTTACTTGTAACTGGGATATATTTTGACTTCATTCCTAAGTATGGTATGCGGTGAGGCTGAAGGTTGCCTCACTGTGTGGTTATCCACTTGTCTCAGCATGTTTTACTGAGCGCTCATACGTTTTTAATAGTTCTAGATTTAGATTTTATAAAATTAATCTCCACTATAAAACCTTAATAGTGGATTGTCAAATTTTATGTGGCAATAAAGATGTGGAAGAGAAGAGTGGGAAGCATTTTATGTGCTTTCTCTCTTAACTGCTATGCTATTTACATTTAGTTTCAATTGTTGATATACAAATTTATTGATCAAAGTTAAGCTTAATAAGCAAAAATATAAATAGTATAGCCTTCATAGAATAACACGGCTTCAAATTACTCTTAAAAAGCATATAAAGTCTTATTTGCTAATAAGTAATTAAAACTTCCTAGTAAACTAAATTGAATTTTCTCCTTAATTGGGCTGTAGTATAGCTGTTTCTAGATCATGTCTTGGAAACAGATTATATGGGTGGACAAAGTTGAAAAAAATAGTATGTTTTTAATTTCTTAAAAATTTCCTCAGATAGGTAGTGGCTAATCCCAACACTCAGGAGGCAGAGGCAGGCAGATCTCTGTGTGTTCCATGCCAGCCTGGTCTACAAGAGCTAGTTCCAGGACAGCTAGGACTGTTACACTGAGAAACCCTGTCTCAAAAAACCAAAAAAAAATTTTTTTTCCCCTCTAAATTGATGGTTTAAAGCCACACTCATTCTGTGTTGGATAGAACTATTATTTGGAATTCTTGGAGTTAGACATGCTCTGTTATTCTCGAACTTACCTAAAGGTGGTAGAACTAGAATAGATCTTTTGTATATGATTTACAAAGACTGGCTGAAGGAGATTTGTACTTGTAATGCCAATTATTAATTTAAAAAGAAGCGCTTGTTTTCAAGGTGAAGACCGCTAGGCTGGCCTATGAGAGAACTGCTAGGTTTGTGCACCAGTGGGTGCTTCGCGGTTACATCTGTCTTTCTGGTCAGCAGAGTGCCACCAAGAACACTGGTCTTTCTGCTTTTCAGGTAGTGATCCATGAGACCTAGCTTTCAAGAAATTAAGTAAATATTTCACTAGTTCCCCATTTATTTTTTTGAAATGAAACATTTCAAAATATAAATAACAAGTTCTAAATGGCCACTTGGAAGATTATAAGTTTCACCGATGTTTTTCTTCAGATTTATTTTTTAATTTTTGCTAGTCCGAGAGCCCCAAACAGTTCCATCTCTGTCCTTGT